ATCAGGATGTGAAGAGAGAGATGTCACCATTTTTCCAGGGGCATAAAATGAGAAAGCTAAATCCGGACTAGTGGAGAGATTCTCCTGAGCAGGAGGAGGAAAGCAACTGCAGTGTTTCAGAGGGATCATATGTTTCTGTGAATTCAAGCTGTGAGAGTACAGCAGAATGACCTGCTCAGTCACAAAATCTCCCCCAAAATCCCTGGCTGTTAGACAGAGCTGACAGATCTCAGCTTTCCTGCAGAAACTAGCCAGATGCTGTAGTCTCTCATATGCCTAGCTGTGTCAGGCAGAACAGGGTATGTAATCCATGAGCCAGGAAAAATTTTGCAGTGTCTTCCTCTGCCCCACTTGTCTTGGTTTCCAGGGACTGAAATAGCTTCTTGTGAATAGAAACAAGTACAATCCTGAGACACAGGACATAACCACAAGAATTTGATGCTCACAGTTTAATTGCAATGCCAGTTCTCTTTCTGCTCCCAAAATTTAGACATAATCAGCTCTGGAGAAGTCACGTCTATTCAGCTTAGCTCTCTGCCCCTCCACAGCAGAGTAGTGCCTTCCTTGATGTCCCAGAGGAGAGCAGTTCCAGGAGCACTCTATCCCTGGGAACAAGGCCAGGTACCTGTTGGTAGAGTCCTGGATAGGCCGGTCAAACACACGTCAGAGGCTGGGCTGTAGCAGGAGAGCAAGAAGCAATTGCAGCTCTAATCCTTTTACCAGTGTACTCAGGGCCCTTCAGAAGGCCAAAGGAGCAGGAGAGACTGCAGGACTCAGCAGTAATGGCACTGACCTCTGGCCACCCTCTGTCACCTGCCATGGGCAGCTTCTCCTCTGTTCAATCACTGCAGTACAGACCAAACTAGCCCACAAAATTACTATGTTCAGAGGAGCTTTGGCTACCAAAGTGATTGACTTTCCATAAAACAGTCCCAGTCAAAATATTTGAAATTAACACAAAAGATAGACAACAAAATATTCCTGTTCCAGAGGATCCAATGAGGGAGTAACCTTCCAAAGAAGATGGAGCAAATTTCCTAAAGACACCTTTCAAAACATCCTGTCCAAAAAACAACTACGCTGTCACAACAAAAGTCTCTGCCCAATCCCATGGGAGAATGGCTAAGGGACCCTGTAAAATCTGCTTCTGGAGAAAGCAAGTGTTCCGATCTGATGCAGTGTACAGACTTCTATAGATTCCTGAACAGTTTTGAAAAGAATTAGTTTAAATTTAACTAAGAAAAAGACACACAACATATATTTCTTGAGCCCTCTTACCAATTTTCTTGCTTTAGTCATTCAGGGCTCAGCAGGGATGCTAACCAATTTACTTCATATTGCCAGCAGTTTCAGGATTTCAGCATCACTAGCAAATGCCAAGACTTTCATGGTATCTGTGATATTTGAAATAGAGCTTTAATTATGAACATTTGTTTATAGAGTGCTTTCACTCCAAACTCCCAAAACACTGACCACCACAGAAATCCCTGCTCTGGTACTAACAGGAATCCCTTCACTGGTCCCTGGATTATGAAAACCTCTGGCAAAGCAGCAGCAGCTCTTCATACAGGAGCTCTGTACTACAGTCAAAGACAAGAAAGGAATAATAATGTATCTAACTAAATGACATGTAAAAGTCAGCTAGACAAAATATAGTTACCCACATAGAATTTGGACAGAGCACTCATGTTAACACCCTAGCTCCTGGCCAAAATGCCAATGCACTTCTGGAAGTTAAGACTAGCCAAAAACTTGGTTTTACAGCTCATCCAAAAGTCCATAATGTTTGCATTAACTAATGCATTATAGAATAATTATCATTTTAGTGACAAGTTGCAGCTCTTCATATTATGATTTTTGTTTTTGTTTTTGTTTTTGTTTTTGTTTTTTGTGGTGGTGGTGGTAATGGTGCCTGACTTAAAATGACCTGTCATTCATTGCTATTGGCTTTTCCAATTCTGAGTGGTTTTAGTCCACTTAAAGTCTTGCAGGCAGTCTTTCTTTTCTGTGTCTCTTGCTGATAAGCATTTATACAGACATACAGATCAGGTAATTTTTCAGAGAGAAACTCTGAGATTTAAGGGAAATGCAGATTTTGCACTATTCTGCAAAAGTTCACTGCAGTTCAAGGAGATTCTGTGTGACCTGCTCATAGCAGATTTTAGCAAGTTTCTTTCTTTCTTCTTTCTTTCTTTCTTTCTTTCTTTCTTTCTTTCTTTCTTTCTTTCTTTCTTTCTTTCTTTCTTTCTTTCTTTCTTTCTTTCTTTCTTTCTTTCCTTCCTTCCTTCCTTCCTTCCTTCCTTCCTTCCTTCCTTCCTTCCTTCCTTCCTTCCTTCTTCTTTGTGTGTGTGTTGTTATGAGGCAAGTAATGAAAAAAATATGTGAGCAGCAAAATTTATTAGAATCTATTGAGCACCAGGGGAGACTAATTATAAAGCTCCAATACAAGACTGACACCACCTGGCTACTACAAGAGTTTGCAGGACTTACAACGTTTGTGTGAAATACTCCTTTTACACCTGGAAAACTACAGTATTTTGAGATCCAGTTCCAAGTGGCAATCCCCAGTGAACAGTCAGCACCACCTGTGTGCACCCTATGGAAGCTGAAAAAGCAGAGGGCTTCTCAGCAGCAGACACCCTCCTGCTGCTCCTCCATCACTGCTCTCAGAGCAGGTGCAGGTATTTTATCAGCACAGCTCTGCAATGTTGCCAACTGAAGCTGTCCTCTAATGTAAGCAGTTTCTAGTAAAGAAATTGATTTAGCTTTTTTTATATCTGCAGGGTGAACCTCTAGCTTTTGTAGTATCTTCCCAGAGCACACAAGAAAATGAGGTGAGAAGTCAGAGTGTTCTTAGAGAAACTGCAATGTTTCCCCCGTAAATCACCAGAGGCTTAAGCTGATGCACTTGAACAATGTACCAAAGTCAATGAAATTGTTCATGCTCTTAAACTGAAATGACAGGATAAGCATCTCTGAACAACAGCTTGAAAAACAAATTTAACTTAATACAACCTATTATTTACCCAATTTCTGTACTGAGCTTGGATTCACAACCTATGAACTTCATTCCCTCTATCAGGAAAGAAAAATAAGATAATGATGAAAATTACACTGCAGTTGAATATGAGATGACAAAAAGTAATTTCTCACTTCTCTAACTGCTTTTCCCCAGATACTTGCAGCTGACTTATTTGCATTTATTTGGAGCAGAATTGCTTTTTCTTTGCACTTTCCCAGAAAGGAGTAACACTGGCTTCTTTCTTGAGCCCAGTGAGTCAGAATGAGTCAGACTACAAGGCGAGAGAAGGGTCCCTGGCACAGAACTCCCTGCAGAGGGTTTGAGGAAGAAAGGAGTTTCAAACCATACATGGAGCTCCCTTCGTGGAGCTTTTGCCAGGATGCCACAACTGTAGCACATTTCCCCAGTCAGATCAGAGCAAGGGGAAATGGAATTAAGTCCTTGCTGACTGATAAGGTGAACAATTGCACTTTTGAGGAAGGAGTAGAGTCATGCAATAAATAAAGAATATGATCCAAAGAAATCATCATTGCAACTATACAGAGAAGCACTTCGAAGATATTACAAGCAGATGGAGAAATAGGATTTTCAAAAGTATGATGTTTCCTTAATAAGAATTCCATCTGGGATTTAAAGTTTCCAGCTTTTTCTAGTTTCCATAGAAAACTATTTGTGTATCTTAACATAATATAGATTATTACCGTGGGTCCACCAAATTTACTAAAGGAGTGTTCAAACTCTACCCAGAAAAGGAATTTTCATTCTTCACATTGCGTGTTAAATTCTAATTTGTGTGTTCAAATCAAAAAGAGATTAATTTTTTTTTCCTTCCTTGCAATCCTGAAAACCACATACAAGGGTAAATAAGTAGGAAAGAATTGTGAAATCTCAAATATACTTCCCTTCCTAATAAATGGTCTAGCTTCCCAAATATGTCTTGGAAAACAGCCATCACCAGAAATACAAGCCAAAGCTATGTGAATATCTGTTTGTATCATTTGGTTGCCAAAAAAGTGATCAAATAATGAAATAAAAACTATTTTGACCTAAAATGAACTTTTGCTAATTCCTTGGAAGAAACTAGACAAATCAGTGAAAATTATGTGAGGACAACAAACAAAAAACTCCCTTTTTTTAAGCTTTATGTTTTCTTCATATACTGAACCCATTACAAATGTTTGCATTTGTTAGTATAGGATTTTTTTCTGAAAATGAGGTAACTATTTTTAATTAGGTTACCAGATTAAATATAAATGCCTCTCCCAGTGTTTGCTGTTCTGTGTCCTGTCCTTAAGAGACTTCAGTGCTTCTGACCGTGCTCCATTATTAACATTTCAGCAGCTCTGAGATGGAGTCAAATGCTGCTGTGGGGAGCTGCTATTCTGCACTTTGTTGGCGAGCACTGGGCTGGCCTGGACTCTGCTAGGGAAGAACCTCTTTTGATACAAAAAGTGTCTGGCAGTTCCTTGCTGCATTTATGTGCTATTTTCTACCTTGTATCGAAATGGGCAGTGACAATTTATTAAAAATTCACACGAGCATTTCCATGAGTTCACACTCTGTTCTTATCACAGATGGACCCAAATTGCAAAATCTGGATCCTGAATTAAATATTCTTTTGCTTTGGTGTGCCAGATGCAAGGTCTTGCCTTCATTAAGGTAAAAAAAAAAAAAAAAAAAAAAAAAAGCAAAAGGTGTGTTCTTATTTTGAATTAGTTAACTAAAGGTTAAATCCTAGCAAAGGCAAAGAAACTCTGATTTATTTGGCTTGTCTACAGTCATCAGCTCAATGTGTAACTTATTTGAAGCCTATAAACTGCCTTGACTTCAATGAAGTATTGCTGTGCATCAGTTGTTCTGAGTTATGAGCTCCTATTATCTATCTTTAGTGAGGAATACACCCAAGTACCTGAGCAAGGCCTAGTTCCAGCCTGAAAAACACCAGAAACACTAAAGCACTGGATGTTAAGATATTTACCATTTGGTGCACATTGTCAGAGGCAGCAGTGAGGCAGGATCCCAGGATGAGAGACATCGCTCAGATCTTCAGTACCATGGGAGAGCAAAGGAATTCTGCAGAAGACATAAGGATTTTGCTGCTTTGCAGGAATGATAGAAAAGCACCATGTTTTGCTTATGCTGGTTTGTGACCAGGACCACCAATAATAGCATTTTTCACACTCTTATTTTTGGCTGGTCGGTGTGTTGTAACACAAGGAAGAGAAAATGAGGACCAGTCAAAATGTAGCATAATTTAGATGATTATGATGAAAACAATTAAATTTTGACATGCACTTAACAGTTCTTCTGCACCCAGCAATGCTTGAAACAAGATGAACATGTTTTGCAGTAATGCCAGATCCCATAATATCACCCAAGATCAGTAATGAGAAGGGCTGCTCTCTCTGAAGATTACTGCAATCACATCTTTCCATGGAAGGTTTAATGTTCAGCAGTCTGTTAGGAAGAAATGTGTTTTAAAACAGAGTTGGAAATAGAAAAGATAATTATGACACAATTATGCAGAAAGAGAATGGCACAGAAGACTTCATAGAGAGCAGTCTGGGAGAAGTCAAAACAAACAAACAAACAACAAAAAAAGACGCCTTTTTTTCTGTGTTACACCCAGCTTCTTAACAGATACCTCAGTGCGACTGCTGGAGCTGCTTCTCTCTATTGGTGTATCTTCAGTCACGTTAAAAGATCCTTCTGTCACATTCTGAACCTTCCAGAGGGTAAAATACATAATGCTGTGTACAGCTAAAACTCAGTGCTTCACAAATATTGCAGCCAAGGCCAAAATTTTTGGATTGCAGTGTCAGCTGTAGGATAGTACTTTGTAGAACCAAAGTTATCTCTTTCCACTTCACAAGCATTTTTTAATTTGTTATGCTTTTTTGTATGCCTTTTGAAGTCCAGAAAATCTTACAGCACAGCATGCTGTATCACCAGACAATTTTTCCTTTAGAATTTTCTTTAGATATTTCCTAGAAGATTGTCATAATGAAATTTGTACTATTCTATGATTTATGCTTTTTCCCTGTGCCAAATATATACATACTAATATACTACAATATATGCTCTTGGTATCACAAAGTAGAAACACACAATCTATTAAATGTCTACTAAGTTTACCACATGAGATCATGTAATTTATGTTTAAGTGACTTCAATCCTCCAAATTCATTTAAAACCCAAAGAGCCAGCATAAGTCCAGAAGCAATCAGAAGGAAGCCAAGACCTACAGGAGATCGATATAAAATTTTAAATTTAGAGTCTCTGAATCCAAACTGCTGACAAAGATTGCAAGCTTAAAAAAAAATAAAAAAATAAAAACAAACCATAAGCCAGTTAATGGTCTTTCTAAGTAAACATCCAACATATTTTTTATCATGCAATGAAGCTTTTTGATCTATGTAATCTTTGCTCTTTTCCAGCTTCTATCTGTCAGTGGAAATATAATCTTTTATATACAAACAGATTAATGTTCTCAAAAGAAAAAAAAAACGGCAAAGGAATGCAATATAGCTATCACTTTTTAGAAACACAGTTAACTAAACATTGAACATTTGACATTGGGTAGTGTGAAGATAGACTTTATGTCAGAACACCTTTTCCTTGTTTTTATTTTTAAACAGTGACTAACTATAGAAGCAGCACTGCATATATGCTACAATAAATAATGTGGTGACAGCTTTTCCACTACAAATTTCTGTTTTCAGGGGTTTGTAACTCATCTGTGGAAGACCATTCCAGGAAAAAAAAAAAAAAGAAAATCTTTTTGAAGTGCAAAGATCAAAGATCACATTAAACTACATGTTTAAAAGAAAATGGTACCTTTTTTCTTCATCACAGCAAGCCAGAAGTTCAAAACAGCAGCAAAAGGATAAATTGATCTGGTCTGCTTTATTTTGACTTCACACTGGAAGAAGGGAGAGAATTTATATGTTTAATAGTAAACATCAATACTAGAACAACATTACACTGATTTTGAGGCAGCATGGAGGCTGGCATTCACTATCACAATTTAAATTACTTCAATTCATTGCAAGACAAGAATGTGTCCTAAGAGTTTCAGAAACAATAATTTTAATTTAGATTTGGGGTAACCCTTGATTTCATAATAGCAATGATTTTGCCCCCAGTAGACTGTACACAGCAAAAATTCAGTTTTATCAAGGGAATGTTTATGTAATAGGGAAAAATAAAGTGAAGGTTTATTTAAGTGTTGAGAAGAATGAAAATACTAAATCAAGCAGAAAATTAAAAAAAAAAAATTACCTGAATCTTTTCATAAAAAGCAAAAGAACCCTTCTAAAGCAAAAGAACCCTTATATGTGTTGGTATTTCCATAGAAGTATGTACTTTTGCAAGGTAAAACCGAAATACAAAGATAGCTTGAAAACAAAATCAGACAGGCATAAATACCAGAGAGACAAGCTATCAAAGAGAGTTCTCTGGCACTAAAAAAGCAACATCAACCCATCACAGTGTGCTATTTAGTCATTAATTTTTTTTTTCTAATTTACTTTCTAAATATGTGCAGTAGTTTTGATGTTACATGATATATATAAAATAATAGATTATAAATCATTAAACCTGATGATAGTTTTTTCACTTAGCATTTATGTTTTATTGGTGTGATGGATTTTTTTTTGCAGTCTGTCTCCAATTATAGGAAGATTTTTTTTTTTTCCTGTCATTTATTTGACTTCATTCACCACTTCTCAACATATGCCCTATTTAGGATATGATATAACTAAAATTTTGTGTGAAACCATGCCAGTTCTTCCATTTTAGGGCCAACTAAGGAATGTATCCCCTTTAAGTAAGTGTTTAAATCTCCTTTGGTTAAATATCATAATTAAAATAAGTCCAAGAAGACCATCTCTGTGGAGGCAAAAGTGATGCTGCTTGTAGGAGAGAGCTTGGGCAGGTTATAGGAGACAGCCCCAGTGATGGAATTCTTTCAGGGTGGGCATCGTCACTGGGATTTTCAGAAGAAACTGAGGAATCTTGCACATCAATTTTCCGTGAGTACAAGCTGATTCTGTGTCTCTTCTTCTAGAGTGCATCACTTTAGACATTATTTAATTAGATATTATTTATTAATATGTTGACTTTAGACATTATATATTTGGCTCTTGTTAGTATTCATTTCTAATCTATGATCAGAAAAACATAAAACCATTTAAGTATTTTTAAAAATTTATGTTAGATCTAGCAAATCCTTGGGTGGAAAATCCATATTTTATTTTGGCTGTTTCTTGCTCTGTCTCTCTGGCTGATAAATTTATGAAATATATTTCATAAATTATATATATGAAATTATATATAAATTATATATAAATTCATATATGAAATATAAAAACTCTGCATCCCACCAGTATTTTATAAGTACAAAAGAAATCCACCCTCCAGATGCACACAATCCAAACCCTAACACATCACTTCACTGCCAAAGATATATGCACTCCTTGGGAATCACAAGCAGAACCTAGAACAAATCTAAACCATTCACTTGAATGATAATGATACTAATAATAAATATATGCAGTTTGTAACTTCTCGTGTTCAACTGAAAAGGTCAGATTACCTAGTCTGTACTCTGACATATTACAGGTAATTACATTTTATCAACTTACACTTCTCAGATGTTTAAATATCTAAATTTAGGACTCTAAAAGAAATGCTCAAATGCCCTGAGTTGAACTAAACTATTTATCACATGAAGTCTTCTACTCTCTCCTTATCCCAAAGGTTCCTGCTCCTGTAGCCAGGCAAAGGGGTAATTGTTACAGCCTGCATCCTATTGCTCCATCTTTAAACCAGCAAAAGAGAAAGAGGAGGTGGGAATACACAGCTGAATGTATTACTACCTCCAAAACCAGAAACTAGATCCAAATCTGAGCTCATCTTTCCAGCTCTTGGGTGAAAATGCTCTGAAGCTCATTAGTGATCCTGTTTACAACAGGGGAAATCAAAGTCCACAGTGTCCAAGGCCCTTTATGTGATACAATAGTGAAATTATTTCTATTGCTAATCTTGCTGTTATTCTCTGCATTTCCTGTGTGTACAATGTGATTTCAAATACAATTCAAATGTAAATAGCAGACTCTTTTATCCCTGGAGTCAAGCTATTCTCCCAAAATACTGCAGAGGTCAGTAGGAGAATTTGCACCAAGAATAGTTTTTGGTCTTTCAACTGTTTTTGACACCTCAAACATACACAATTTTTTTCATGTGGGGCATGTGAACCATCTTCAAGAGAAAATGGTCACAAAAGGCCACTGAAGAAAGTCCTCCACTGGTATGTGCCTTCCCATGACAGGAGTAGTGCTGTCTCTGCTGCCTGTCTTCCTTCAGCTGCCTGACTTTTGACAGGTGATGTTCTGGGAGTAAGATCTGAAAGGTGTCAAATAGGAGGTAACATACCTCGGTAGATCTCTTTATTCTAATTTCATATGGAAACTTTTCTTCAACAGGTGCCCATTAAAGAATCCTGTTTTAACTTACACTGGGATCAGGTATCCTGAAATCAGTGACCTGTCAATCCCTGCAGCACAACAGACTTTTTGTGTAAAGCCATGACACAGCACATGTGTCAAACTGGGTAATCACTGTCTAATGCTGAGTTTCCATACATGAATCAGGGACCCAGATACCTTGGGGTTTGCTCATGGCTAGGTGTCAATACCATCTTCTCTTTGCTTCATCTAAGACAGGTTCTTGAAGAAAACTTTCTATGAAAAGCCACCAGAAAGATATTCCTGTGAGAAGGTTGGGTGAGGTAAACTCCTGATGTCATGGCAACAGGCTAGTGAAGTTTTATGCTATTTTTGCTTTATTTCAGGACACATGTTAATGCAAAAGAGGATTTGGTCCCACTGATTAACACTGTCTGATTTTTGTTGAGTCGCCTCACAATAAAACTACTGATTTCTACTGGGTTAGTATAAAAATAAAAGATGAAGCAAAGTTCCCATAAAAGTCATTTAGATTAGCCCTGTGACCGAGGGTGGTGCACAGAGATTACAGTAATTCAACTAAAATGTCTTGAACCTACTTAGTTAAAATCCATGACATTTCCATATCCTTAGAGAAATTTATTTGACTGGATGTATATTCATTTTAGGCACTGGCACAGATTGATAAATTTTTACAAAAGGGAGTGAGTCCCAGATTATCCAAATGAATTTACAAATTGAAAAACTCTATTATCACACTGGGACTGAAATTTACAAATTTCTTTTCCTCTTCTATTAACTGAAATGATCACATTAAAGTTACTGAAATTTAAGTAATGTATCCCTGATTACTGTAGGGAAAACAAACAGCTTCTATATTCACCGTGCCAAAGAGCAGAAGTATGGTGAGGCCATTTCTAAAATATTTCTCATAAATTACCACACAACTTTCTCACAAATCCAGAAATTATTTCTCTTATCCACCCAGGATTATTTTGGCATTAGGTCAAAGATTAACTCAAGCACTTCAAAAGTAAAAAGCTGGAAGAGGAGGGAAATGTCTGGAAAAGTAAATCTGGTTGACTCCTGCTAAATTTCTGGAATGTCAACTATTGTTACAGTTGTACTTTGTAATGTGTGTCTCATAGGTACCACTGTACTACATTCTAAATGGAAGATGTGATCCCTGACCCAACAAGTTTACATCACCTTTTCAGTTTTGAAGCACAGAAAACACACAAGAAGAGGCCAAAATACAGAGCCTAAAAATCTACAGTAACCAGTCACACCTTAGTTTGATCATAAGAAAGAACATCAAAGATTAGATTTGGATTTTTCCTAACTGAGAAAGGAAATTGTTGGAGTTTTTAACTCATCTTTTAGACCAGGTGAATTAACAAGCTCAAGTAAAGCACTTACTCTCCTGTATCTGATTTCAGAAGGGTACATGAGCATTGCAAGAGCTTGCAATCTAAAAGACCACTTAATTCTTTGGCCCAGAAGCTGTAGTATACATTATTACCAACTTAATGGATATTGTAATGGTAAGAAAGAAAACATCCGAGAAATGCAAACCTGGAAGGTCCATCCTTTCTGATTACTGATCTGCTTGTGTCCTTCCCTTTACACTAGTGCTGCATGGCCACCTATGGCAGTGACTGGTTTTGATGATAGGAGATACTGATGGTTGTGTTGAAATGCTTATTACCATCAGTAGAGGAAAAAGTGGGAGAGATGAGTTTCATAATATGAAGCTGGGATAGTTTAAACCCACCACTGTGATGGTGGGCTTGTTTAAGCCAAAAGGTAATACTCAACTAGGACACCCATAGGCAGTAACAGGTACAAGTCTGTGCTTGATTTTGAGATCCCCATCTTCCATATTTTTCCCTAGGTGTGAAGGCATGGAAGTCTCTTAATTGCTTCAGTGGTGTTAAGGATTTACTCTTAGCTCTGAGGAGAGACCAGAAGAAATGTCTTACAAACCGATTTAGTGTCTTGCCAATCAGGCCATAGGATTAATCACAGAGGCATGGGAATGTGCACATCTGGGTGTGTGAACATAGGCACATTTGCAAATGTTTAAGTCACATCTGTACACCATCAGGAGTCAGTGCCTCACTTTGAAACCACTTAAGAAATCCACAGAGCCTGTCTCACGAGGGTGGAGGACAAGCTGGGACCCCAAGGAATGTGATATGTGGGTATTTGTTCATCAGTCCCCCATGACAGCGGCATCCTCCTAGACTGTCTGCAATTATTTACTTATTTTGTTGGCACTGGTCATGGAGGTCTTAAATCATCCTAAATGAAACATTTGAATAAAAATGCCTGAGAGCTGTCAGCATGCAATTCCACTCTGTATTCTTTTCTAAGCTTTGCATCCAGCTTTCACAGTTCAGATGCTTGCAGTCTGGTGTGTTATAACTTGCTTTTATTTTCAAATAGTGCATTT